AGTCAAGTGTTTTAGGCACTATGCTACCAGAGCTCCTACAGCATCCCTATAGGACAGAGTATAAGTGCCCTCATAGGGTTTGCAAGACTGTACAGAAGCAGACTGCCATAACTTTCTCCCACAGAGAGGCTTGTGGGTTTGAACCACTGAGTTTTCAGTTAGCAGCTGAGTGTTTTAACCACTGTGCCACCAGGGCTCCTGTTGTTCTGAATAGACACATGTAAAAAGAGTGAATTAAACCAGTGCACAGAAAGAGCAGCATATTTAGTCTAAGTGTTGGTCTACATGAAAGTTGTTGTTGTTGTTATGTGCCGTTGAGTCAGACCCTACTCATAGTGACCCCTCCTTGGGTTTCTGAGGAGGTATCACTACAGAGCTAGATTGCCCAACCTTCCTTCCGAGGAGTGGCTGGTGGGTTTGAACCACCAGCCTTCTGGTTAGCAGTCAAATGCCTCAGAAACTATGCTACCAGAGCTCCCTCCACATATACGGAGGTTTTGAAATAGTTGCTGCTGCCATTTATGATTCTGAGAGTAGTATATCATGGTGGGAAAGACCACAGGCTCTGGTATCAAGTAGATATGGGTCAGATTCTATTTCTAAAATTTGCCAGCTGGAAAACAATGGACAAGTTACCTAACTCTTCTGTCCTTCAGTTTCCTCAGCTGTAAAACAGAATATTATAATGGCTCTTCACTTGCGGTGTTGTAAAATTTAAACAAGTCAATGCTTGGAAAGTGTTTAGGTACAATGGCCTTGAGGAAGGCAATGAAAATGTTAGTTGCTGTTGTTAGTTTTATTACTATGCACCCTCTGTGTGATACCAATATGTTATCTAATGTAAATATGGGCCGGGAAAGTGAGTGATCTACCCACCTCTAATGAAAGACAGATCTGGGACTTAAATTCAGATCCCACTGATTCTAAGACCAGCATTTTCCCACTATTTTACCTATCTCACAATTCTAGCTCACTCTCCAGAAATGGGAGCATGAACAGAGGGGTCTCTTCTTCCCATCCGCAGCAGCAGTCCATTTTTGAAGCTTACAGAATGATGCATCCCCTAGCCCCACCACATATCCCTTACCTGGATGACACCACCCCCTTCACTGTTGCGCCCAGCTAAGAACACCTCTGGCAGCTCAAGCATCTTCCCAAGCCAGTCCATCATCACGGTCTCCAGCTCCGTGCACGCAGGGCTTGCAGCCTGTAATGGAATGGAGCCTATATAAGGGACTTGTGTTCAGGGGTGCTGTAATGCCTAGAGTATATGCCAGCAGTATGGTGCATTCCTGGTAAGAATGGAATCAGAGAAAATTCTCCCTAATAATTAGCCTCCACTACTCTATGTATCCCTGCTCAGCCCAGTGCCTGGCAGAGGAAATCGCACTCTGCATTAAGAACCACAGGTATCAGGCAATGTAGCCTAAGAGACACGGAAGCACCCCTCCAAGGCCCAAGGGGTATCAGAATATCCTCAGAAAAAAGACATAGGACTGATATTGGAGATGGATATCACGTTACTTTGAAGAGAGAGACCTGCTCCTGGGTGAGCAGGACTAAATGAAATTGGTTATTTCGTCTAATGGAAAAACATACATTAGAAGAGGGTGTGGTCAGCAGAGACAAAGGAAGATCACTGAGGCCCACACTGATGTGCCCTGCCAGTTCTCCTAGTATAGTAAGGCCTGACCTCCTCACAGGAGAACCAGCAGAGATGGCTTTGGCCCAGGCAGAGTAAGGCCTCTGCATCCCTGAAGTTACCCGGCTGATTCCCACTCACCATGCATTTCCAGGCATTCCAACCCACAAAGAGCACACAGTAGATGGGGAAAGGGAAATGAGCTTTGTGGGGTCCTGCAGGCGCAGGTTGGGAATTCTCAAACCTATTTCTATCTTATGTACACCAGACTTCTTGCTCCACATGGGTCACCATGAGTCCACTTGGCCCTGAGGCATAAACAAGGTGGGCACTCAGTATCTAAAAGCCCAAGGACAAGTCCCAACCTTTGATGAAATCCTCATGACATGTGCATCTTGGAGGTTCCTCTACTCCAGTGCTCTCTGTAGGTTGGAAGGAAGGACTCTTTTCTCTAGTGGAGAACCACAAAGAGCCAGCTCTACTGTCCCTTTGAGCAGGGACTGAAGACCTGACCAGGGCAGATGGAATGAGACCTAGGCAGTAGTGTTTCTTAAACTTTAGAGTGTACAGAAATCCAATTAGCTTGTTAGAAATAGGCTCCAGATACAATAACTCTGGGGCTTAAGAGCCTTTTAACTCAAACTCAAACTCAAAAACAAAATTAAAAAATTTCTTTGCCATTTGCTGATTCCAACTTTATTTAATGACTCTTTCAGGTGGGTTTGAACCACAAACTTTTAGGTTAGTGATGGAGCACAAATGGCTTGTGCCACCCAGGAATGGACCTAAGTGTTTCTAAAGACCACTGCCACTTTATTATAGCAGCTCGACATTGGTTCACCAGTTGTAACAAGTGTATCACAGAAAAGCTAGAGGTTAATAATAGGAGAATTAATGTGTACCTGGAAAGGAGGTATATGGGAACTCACTGTACTTCCTATATAATTTTTCCGTAAATCTACAATTGCTCTTAAAAGTGGTTTATTAATGAAAAATAAGAAGAACTGCAGAATTGGCTTTTGGTTGCTGAGACTTTTCCAGAAAGAGTGCTTGTGCTCTTTCTCTCTCTCTCTCTCCCCCTCTCTGCTATTTCTCTCTATTCCAAATTATTGTCCTTTTATAAGGTACCTTCCCTTGGGGCTGAATTCTCGAATCGATTTCCTCTCTACAACAGTGGTCCTCCTGACTATTGGGGACACTGCCACCTTCTCTTGGCCTGTTAGCAGTGGAAGGAAGCAGGTACTGTGTTCCCTTGGCAGGGCCCCCCCCCACCACTGCCAGTGCCCAACTTCCCTACTCCCCCTAGATCACCCCAGTACTCACCCAGGAGAAGCCAATGCAGCCAATGGCCCCACATAGCATGTCTGCAAGCATGGCTGGATACGAGCTGGCTGTAGGGAAGTAGGCAAAGAAGTGGGGGCTGTGCCAGTGGGTTACCTGCTGAGAAGAAGAGCTGGTTATTCAGCCTCATTGGAAATGGGACCCCAGTGGAAATGGGACTGCTAACCTCCATAACCCTGCTTCCTGATTCAGTTACTACATTTCCTACATTTCATTCATTCAGCACCTTCATCCTAATATCACCTGTTCAGTCACTCCTTTAAACCAACTCCCTGACTCCTTTTTGTTTATTTTAATGTATTTTTTGACTGAGAAAGAAATATTTTATCCCCAAAATAAAGTGTAAGCTTATTATTTTTTGTCATAAGTGGAAAGTAACCATAAAAAGTAAAGTGTATAAAACAAAACAAACAAACAAACAAACAAAATATCAAACTCACTGCTATCAAGTCAATTGTGACTTATAGCAACCCCTCCTTGGGTTTCCGAGGTGGTAATACCACCAGCTTTCCAGTTACCAGTCAAATGCCTTAGGCACTCTTTTAAATTCTTGCTAGGTATGTTTTTGAAGGCTCTGTCTGGTAGACCTCATCTCCTTGCTCTGAAAAACTGGTTTTCCAGGCCTCTTCAGCAAGGTTCCAAAGTTGCAGGCTGGTCTTCTCTCTACCTCCTTACTAAGCATATCTCACTATCATGCCCTGCACTTTCCCTCTTTTGTCCCCCCAGATTTCTGTTCCCTGCTGCTCCTCTGCCCTTGTAACCTCCCCTTCTCTGATCCAGGTCAGCAAAGTATATAGAAAACCTACCCTGTGCCAAATCTGAGTTAGACACTGAGGACAGTAGCATATGACCTGGTCTTTGCCCCCTGAAGACCTCCAGATGAACCAGGGAGAAGATGCACAAAGAGGCTGTTAGAGCATTTTGAGGTCTGTACATCTGAGGACACAGGGTGCTAAGAGCCAGGGAAGGTGCACCAGAGTGAGTTAGGAGGAGCTGAAGGACGGTTTTAGGGTACAGGAAGAGAAGGGAGCACGACTGTGCAGGGAATAGAAAGACCTAGGGGTGGTACCCAGGGACAAGGAAGGAACATTTCAGTGTCTGGGAAAATCAGGAATGAGGATATATAACCCATTTTTGCTTGTTTACTTTGTTCTAGGCATTTATGTGCCTGTCACATGAGAAGAGAATAAAGCCCTAAAACCCCTAACACCACTTCAGTGAAGACTTCCTTTGGGGTATGTAAACACTTGTTGGAGTCCAACAGACATTATCCTGCTCCTTCTCTTCTCTTCCCACCATTTCTATCCAATGCACCTAGATTTTAGGTGCTTTAGGAGTGAATCTGGACTGTAGATCTGGCAGCTACTCAGGTTGTCTGGGTCACTGTAGGTGAATGACTGGACCTCTCTGGGCTCCAGGTAGCCCTAGGGTAAATGCATGATGGACTATAGTGCTTCTTCCAGCTCTAATATTCTTCACTGCCTATCTCAGAATCCTCAATGGCCATGGATTTGTTCTGCCAATATTAATCATCTTCACACAGTCTGGGCAAAATTCCAAACATTTCTGTTTTGATAAAGCCTGTTATTAACTGTTCATTGTCTCAGATGTGCCACAAGTGATTGCTTGATCATAAATGCAGCACACCAGGAGAGCTCCTCAAGAACTGGAAGTGTTCAACAGAATTTATGTCATCTTGGAGACTGAAGAGCAGGTCCCATTACAACCATGTAATCCCCTAGTCTACCAAGGCAAGAACAGGGCAAGAAGCAGGACCTTACAATGACTGTGAAGTCAGCAATGATAGCCACCTGAAACAAATCAGGAAAATCAGAACTTAGTCTTATTGGTTAAGATGATTAAGAACATCATTCAAGAGCAAATAACAAGATAAATACACCATCAGAACTCATACAAAAACAGCAATGAGAAATACAGAAGATGAACACTAAAATTACACAGATAGACAACACAGTGGAAGGACAAAAGAGTAGAAGAGAGCTGGCTGAAGAATGCATTTCCCAACTAGAAGACCAATTCCTTGATGCCAGCCTGTATGAAGAAAAAAAATAGAAAAAGGATTTAAGAGAAATGAAGAGAACCTAAGAGCTCTATGGGATGACATAAAAAGAGATAACACACTCCTTACTGGAATACCAGAACAAGAGGAGAGGGACAAAAAAAAAAAAAAAACTGAGAAAATTTTGGAAGACTTGATAACAGAAAATTTCCTGCATATCATGAAGGAAGAAAAGATATCTGTCCAAGATGCTCAACAAACCCCATGCAGGATAGATCTCAAAGAGAAAGTCACCAAAACATATCATAACCACACTCTCCAAAATGAAAGACAAAGAGAGAATCTTGAGAGTAGCCTGGGAAAAATGAAATGTCACCTACAATGGACAACCAATAAGACTAAGTTCTGATTTCTCAGTAGAAACCATACAGGCAAGCAGGCAATGGGAAGGCATATATAAAACACTGAAGGAAAAGAACTTCCAACTGAGAGCTATATTCCAACAAAATTATCCCTTAAATATGAGGGTGAAATCAAGACATTCTCAGGCAAACAGAAATTGAGGGAATTTGTGAAAACTGGACCAATCCTACAAGAAATGCTAAAGGGAGTCCTTCCAATAGAGAACTCACAACAGAGAGCAACAAATTAAAATCAGAACACTTGACATCACCACTTAGAAACCAAACCAGAAATAGATGCTCAAAATAAGCTCATAAAATAATGAAAGAAGGGAGTCATTCTGCAGATGACACCAGCAACAAAGCAAATAGAGGGAATAAAAGTTCTAATTACCAAACTTCCAAATGGAGAGGAAGGCAGGACAATGTCTTTATACAACTGACTGTTCCAAACTTAAGGAGATAAGAATTTACTTCAGAGTAACCACAAAGAAAATTAACAGTCTCCCTAAACTAACTCAAAAAGAAGAAAAACACATGTATGTGTGTTTTAGTAAGCACAAAACCAACAATAATGAAGAAAAGAGAAAAAAACATAATAGAATGACAGCAATAAATTCATACCTATCACTAATTACACTCAATGAAAATAGACTAAATGCACCAGTCAAGAGAAAGAGAGTGGCAGATTGGGTAAGAAATGAAGACACATGGATATGCTGACTACAACAGACCCACCTTAGACACAAAGATAAAAACAAATTGAAAATTAAGGGGTGGAAAAAATATACCAAGCTAAAGGCAACCAAAAAAGAGCAGGAGTGGCAATATTAATTTCTGATAAAATAGACTTCAAGGTGAAAAGTGGCATAAGGGACAAAGAAGGATTTATATGCTGCTAAAAGGATCAACTGACAAAGAAGACATCACCATAATTAATATCTATGCATCCAATGAAAATGCTCCAAAATATGTAAAACAAATATTAATTGAAAGGAAAAATAGATAACTTTATGATAGTAGTAGGAGACATTAACACACCCCTTCCAAGGAGGGACAGAACAACTAGAAAAAAACTCAAAAAAGACACAGACAAACTCAACAACACAATCAACCAACTCGACCTCATAGATATATACAGAGCACTCCACCCAACAAAAGCACAATACACATTCTTCTCTGTGCACGTCGATCATTCTCCAGAATAGACCATATGTTAAGACACAAAACAAGCGCAATAAATTAAAAAACTTACCAGGGACAGAAAAGACCTGTACAAAGAAAACTATGAAAAACTACTTCAAGAAAACATAAGAGATCTACATAAATGGAAGAACATCCCATGCTCATGGATAGGAAGATTGAACATTGTGAAAATGTCAGTTCTACCCAAAGCAATCTATAC